TAAAAGACCAAACCGCATACTGATTAAGCTAGCCACTAATAATAAAACTCCTAAATAAAAAGGTAAAACCAAATAAAATATTACTTAAAGGGCTCCCCCATCTATAGAATCACAAACTAAAATTTTTCTTAAACTATTAAATGAAATTATTTAGTAAAATGTAAAAATAAAATTAGACCCTAAAACTAAAACATTTACTGGGACAATGTGAAGTCTAATAGTGTGGATCTCACGAACATTAGAATGAACAAACCCATATAGTGAATTATAAGAAGACCCGTGTTGTGAAAACGAAAATATAAATAATGTAAAAACCGCCCCTAAAAAGGAGCCTAGAGGAAAGAATAAAAGTATGATATAATCGTAACTCATAATTCTAGCTATCAAAAAAATCTCTGATAATAAATTAATAGTCGGAGGGGCAGCAATATTCGACGCGCAGAGAAAAAATATTAGTAAAGAAAAAATAGGAAAACTTAAAATAAGCCCCTTATTAATAAAAAAACTTCGGCTCCCAGTTCGTTCGTAGTATAAGTTAACCATACAAAATAAACCTGAAGAAGAAACTCCATGAGCTACTATCATCACTAAGGCCCCCATAAATCCCCATGAATAGAGAGTTATTAGCCCCCCAATCACCATAGCTATATGGGCTACTGAAGAGTACGCTACTAAAGCTTTAAAATCATTTAAACGACAACACAAGATCCCTGTAAACATTATTCTAGCTAATCTTAGCCCTATAAAGTAAGGGCTAAACTTTATAGCCGAAACCCCTGTGATACTAAGAACTCGTATAAGCCCGTAGCCCCCTAACTTTAATAAAACCCCAGCTAAAATTATCGAGCCTGCCACGGGGGCCTCAACATGAGCTTTAGGGAGTCACAAATGTGTAAAATACATAGGGAGTTTAACTAAAAAGGCTATCGAACCCATAAAAGCAGTAATAACAAAGAAATTAAAACCTGAAAATGAATAAAAAAGTAACTCCTTATAAAATAAAGAAACACCACCCCCAATTATATATAAGTACATAATTAATAAAAGTAAAGGTAACGACGCTGTGAGCGTATAAAATAAAAAATACATTCCTGCTTGAACACGCTCAGGTTGGTAGCCTCAACCCATAATAATTAAAAGTGTCGGGATTAGAGAAACCTCAAAAAAAAAATAAAAAAATAATAAATTACCCGAAAAAAAAGTCAATAGTAAAATAAAAAGTAATAAAAAAACAAAACTATAAAAATAAAAAGTATACTCCTTGAAACGAAAAATTTTATATCTAGAAAAAATTATTAAAATTCTAACCCAAACTCTTAGAGACACTAAAATAAATCTAATCCCATCATAATAAAATAAAGAGTCTAAGTAAAACGTTTCTGGCTGACCCACTAATGTATAAATTACTAGATAAACAGAAATAAATGTTAACACATAAATTAAATTTAATTTAAACTTCTTTAAGAACCCTATAAATAAAAAGATAAAAAATAAATTTACTATCATAAATTTTTAAAAAAATTAAAAGACTTAAAATAATCACCTCCATGCGTCCGTCTTATCGTCACTAAAATAGAAAGACCTAAAGCACCCTCACATGCTGTAAAAGTAATATAAACTAAAGAATAGAAAAAGTCTCCTTTTCTCAATAATGCTAACAATAAAAGAACAACCCCTAATCTAATATATTCAAGTCTTAAAAGAACAGACAAAAGATGATCCCGCTTAGAGCACACAATCCAAATCCCAGAAAAAATAATTAAACCTCTAATAAAAGATAAAAATATAAGTTTTTATAGTTAATTTTATAATATTAGTTTTGTAAACTTAAGTATGCTTAAAGCATACAAATTTTGTATAAAAATATTTTTGTTAACTTCCGCAAGAATTAGAGCTATATTTTATCTAAGAAGACACCCAGTAATAATAATAGTTTTAATTATTTCTCAGACTATAATTTTATGCATCACTGTATGATTTTTTATAAAAACTAGATGATTTTCCTATATTCTATTCCTAATTTTTTTGGGGGGGTTAATAGTTTTGTTTATTTATATTACTAGCCTAGCGTCAAATGAATTAATTAGATTAAAAATAGTCACCCTCCCTAATAGTATTTTTATCCCCATAATTTTGGTATTCTTTATAATTATAAATGTAGACTTCCAAGAATTTAAAGAGTCAAGAACAAGATTTCTTATAACAAAAACATTTAATTTCCTTTATAGATGAAACAACTGCATTCTTTTAACCACTTCTATACTTTATTTATTTTTAACCCTAGTGATTGTAGTAAAAATTTCTAATAAATTTGAGGCCCCTCTCAAAACCCTCTCACACTTTTTAAAATAATGATAGCAGAACGGAAAATACACCCTCTTTTTAAAATTGCCAATAATGCTTTAGTAGATCTTCCTGCCCCAATTAATATTTCAGCCTGGTGAAATTTTGGGTCTCTTCTAGGATTATGCCTAGTAACCCAAATTATCACAGGCTTATTCTTAGCAATACATTACACAGCAGATGTAACCATCTCATTCAATACAGTAGCTCATATTACCCGAGACGTAAGCTACGGATGGCTTCTACGAGTCATACACGCCAATGGAGCCTCTATATTCTTCATTGCCCTGTACCTCCATGTAGGACGAGGGATCTACTATTCATCGTATACTTATACAATGACTTGAACGATAGGAGTCTTAATCTTATTTTTAGTAATAGCAACTGCTTTCATAGGGTATGTATTAATTTGAGGACAAATGTCATTTTGAGCCGCCACAGTAATTACAAATTTATTGTCAGCAATCCCTTATATAGGTTTAATATTAGTACAGTGAATTTGGGGGGGATTCGCGGTAGATAACGCTACACTCACGCGATTTTTTGCATTCCACTTTGTTCTTCCATTCATTATCGCCGGAATAACATTAGTGCACCTTCTATTTTTACATCAAACAGGATCAAATAACCCCCTAGGAGTTAACTCCAACTCAGATAGGATCCCCTTTCACCCATATTATTCATTTAAAGACTTATTTGGATTTATTATGCTTATATGAGGATTAGTATCGCTAGCTTTAATACACCCCTATCTTCTAGGAGACACAGAAAATTTTATCCCTGCAAATCCTTTAGTTACCCCCGTTCATATCCAACCTGAATGATATTTTTTGTTCGCTTACGCTATCCTTTGAGAAACTTTGGTGATAATCTGGTTACAATTTTTCTAAGAGTGTACATGTATTATTTTAAAATATCTTGTTAAACTATTTTTTAAATTCGTATATTACTTATTTTTCCAGATTAATCTCAAAAAGCAAACCGATTACCAAGTAACCAGATTATCACCAAAGTTTAGACGTATATGACTTTACCGGTTTGGTTACAATCAACACCGAAATGGTGTTAAATCGTATCATCTTCACTGCGGTGTTAATTATCACGGCAATGAATAACAACAAAACCACAATGTGGTACAGATGTATATCATTCAGGTTATGATCCGTTAATTTATTAGTGATGATTAACACCATGACGGTGATATTTATAACCGATATATTGTAAATTATTAAGCTTACGGTGACGATTTGCTGTAAAATAGTGTTTTATTTGATTTTTTAAGATAATTCCAGTTCGCATTAAATCCATTTACAAAAGTAAATTAATAAAGATATATTTTAGCAAATACCTGCATACTCGAAATAATGACAAATCAAATTTTATATTATGATTCCTTCATTAGAAAAATATCTCCAGCATGGTAAAATGTTGATGGCTGTTTTTGTAGGCAATTTTTGATCGGCTGATGAGAGCGTTTCTAGGTAAAGGGAATGGAAGGAAAATAATTTAGAAATATATTTACATAGTACTTAATACGAGTACGAATACTTAATTAAAACTTTTAACCCTTTAGCCTATCTGTTAACCTAATTTTGAAGTTTGATTTGCAAAGGGAGGAATATGCTGCTCAGAAACTGCAAAGAAACAATTAAATATTCCTGAAAGTTAGATTAACGGAGCATTCATTTTAAATAATTCATTTCCGATAAACTATTGGCGAAATTTTTGCTTCAGGATTCACGGGTTGATGTTTGCCAAGAGAGAGAAAATTTGTCCACTGATTGCTGTGCCGACTTGGTTAGAGATTTCGGATTCCTCGTCCAACTTGAATTCTAAGTTAACTGAACCAGAAAACAGTTTATTTACTAAAAGTTTGAGTTAAATGCTTAAAAAATTGTTACCTTCAGTTATTAAAAACTCCCGATAATTGTCACTCGGCACAGTTATTTTTTTTCCACGTGAAAAATTCGATACACGAATTAAATACATTTTGTTGAGGATTAACACAATAAGGTGATGCAGCGCCACTAGCGTAGAATTATTGAATCTGAACACAACCGACTGGTGTAGAACCATAAGGAAATCTTGAGCAAACATCACCAGATATTAAAATAAAGCATCACCAGACTATCTTCAGTTTGCATAACAGTCCGGTGACAATTTCGGTTACAACGAAGTATAACTTTTTGGTTATAATAGTAACCAATTGGCATACAAATTATACCGACGTTGCACAGCGGAGGATTTTCAGACCGGTTTTAACCTTCTTATGCATTTGGTTATAATCTGGTTATATTTTGCTTAAAATTGCGGTGGTGGTCGTTGTCACCAAATGTCTGGTGATAACGTTTATTAGAAAATTATAACCACACTTCTAAGAGTGTAGCCAAATATTATATGACCAATGCAAAATTGTTTGGAAATGTTGGGCAATTGTCATCCTGGTTAAAAATTATTATTTACCCAAAGGCAAACTTCTGAAGGAATGTTGGGGAATTGTAATCCAGGCCAAATTATAATTTGCACCAATACAAAATTATGAGATAATTTTGTACCAATGTCACCCTGGCCAAATTGTTATTTGCACAATTGAAAAATGCTGAGCAAAATTTGGGCAATATTCATATTCCGGAACATGGACCCCTCCGAAAAGCGTCCTAGTCTTTTCCAAAATCGGGTAGGTCGAGTCGACAAATTTTCACTACAGGTCGTCTGTATTCTTTGCCGGCAATCTTGACGGTAACTGCTCGGACTTGTCCATCTTCGCCGGGATGCGCCTTGATGATTCTTCCAAGTGGCCAACGATTTCGAGGTAATTGGTCGTCTACTACGATGACGACTTCTCCCACTTGGTCAGGGTTCTTCTTTTCATGCCACTTCTTCCGGTTGACTTTTGCTGGTAGGCACTCTTGAATCCAACTATCCCAAAAATGTTCTACTAGGATTTGGGCATGCTTCCACTTTTCTTTTGAGTAGTGGTCGGTTTCGATAAATTTTCCTGGGGGTTCAACATTTCCACTTCCAGGGCGTAATAAGTCATTTGCGGTGAGACTTCTGGGGTCGTCCGCGTCGGTGGACACATGACTGAGAGGGCTGCTGTTGACAATATCTGCTGCCTCTTTTACATAGACTTCAAATACTTCATCGGTGGGTTTTCGACATCTTAAGGAGTTTTTGAGGACGGTCTTGACGACTTGACCATCCGTTCCCAGTTTCCTCCCATGTGAGGTGACTGAGGTGGGATGAATTTCCACTCGACTCCTTTTGGTAACAAAAATTCTTCAATTTTTTGGTGTTTCCATTCACCAATCGCTTTCTTGAGTTCGCCATCGGCTCCCCGGAAGTTTGTCCCGTTGTCGGACAATATACAATGGGGTTGTCCTCGAATTGACATAAATTTTCTCAACGCATTGATGGCTTCGTCGGTGTCAATTCTTCGTGCAATCTCAACATGAATTGCACGAGACGTCATACATACAAAGAGGGCGACCCATCGTTTCTGGACGCTCCTTCCAACGATAACTTCTACTGGACCAAAGTAGTCGAGTCCAGTGTAGGTAAATGGGGCTTCGTAAGCTGCAACTCGACAAGGTGGTAATGCTCCCATTTCCGGAAATGACGGTTTGGCTCGGTTCAATTTGCAGCGGTTGCATCGAATCCACGATTTCTTGACGGCAGATCTCATTCCTAAAATCCAGTATCTCCGTCTAAGGTCGTTAAACACTGCTTCTTGACCTTGGTGTTGGTGGGCACGATGATAGTAGTCAATCATCCTCATAACGAACGGATGCTTATCGTCAAGAATAACGGGTTGTTTAGTGTCCCATCCAATACACAAGGCTTGGTCAATTCTTCCTTTCAATCTGATGATTCCATCTTCATCCATGATTGGACTTAATCTGAGTAGTCGACTGTGGTTGGCTTGTTTTGATTTCCATAAATCCACATTATCTTGCAGGAGTTGTACTTCAGTGGGAAATGAATCCTTTTGACATTTCCTCCACCATACCTTCTCGGCGGCTGCAAGTTCGGTAGGGGTGACGGCTTGTCGATATTGTACTGAGGTAGCTGGATTCTTGACTCGTTCGATGAATCTCAGCATGTAATTCGTAGCAATTTCATGAAATTGAATCGGTCTGAATTAGGTAGGAATGTGGCACTTTCTCTCACCACTCCTAGAAATCCAGTCTTCATTTCGATATCTTCCGATTCGTCGGGTTTGAGTGGTCCACTTCCTTCCGCTGGCCAGGTTTCGGCTTCTTGACATAGGAACTCATGTCCGCGGAACCATCTGGCGTTGAAAGTGAGATCACTTGGCGTATTTCTGGTGGCGTCGTCTGCCACATTATCCAGAGTAGGTACCCATTTCCAATTTGACCCCTCCGTTGATTCCAAAATTTCGCCCACGAGGTGTGCGACGAACTGCTTATAGCGACGAGTGTCGGCTGCTTTTATCCAACACAGGACGGTTTTGTTGTCGCTCCAATAGACGGTTCGTTTAATTTCAAATTCCAGTTCTTTCTTTACGGTGAGTCCGAGTCTTGTCCCTATTACGGCTGCGATAAGCTCCATTCGCGGGATCGATATACTTTTCAGGGGGGCAACTCTTGATTTGGCCATCACTAGACTCGTCTCGATTCTCCGTCCATTGTCGATACGGAGATAAGCTGCTGCGGCGTAGGCTAGTTCACTAGCGTCGCAAAAGACGTGCAGCTCAACTTCACTTTCTTCACAGTTGAAAGTGGCGTAACATCGTGGAATCTTCAAATTCTTGATTGACTCGAATTCATGAATCCACATTTTCCAATTGTCCAGGCATTCTCCTGTGATTTCGTCATCCCACCCGTAACCGGATCTCCACACTGCTTGTAACAACATCTTTCCTTTTACAGTGTAATGAGCGATGAGTCCGATCGGGTCGAAAATTGGCATTACGACTCCAAGAATCTGTCGTTTTGTCGGGTGCGTTTCACCATTGATTACTTGACTTTGCATTTTCTTAAAATTGATGGGAAATGACCAACAGTCTTCAGTTGTATCCCAATGGAGGCCCAAAACTCGTTCGACTTTGTTCCCAGCATCACTATCAAAATTCTTCATCCTTTCGCCACGATGCTCTTCTGGGATGAGTTTGATGATCTCCTCGCTGTTTGAGACCCATCCAGTGATCTCAAAACCTCCTCGTCGGTGTACTTCGGTGACACCTTGAATTATTTGGATCGCATCCTTCACGGTACTTTTCGAATCCAAATAATCGTCCATATAATGTTTCGTTTTAATGGCTGCTGCTGCTTCCGGATATTCCTCCCGGTGGGTGTCAGCATTTTTGTGGGTCACAAATATCGTCTAGGTGGGTGACGAGGTCCCTCCAAATATTAACACTTCCATTTGGTAGACATCGGGTTTCTTCTCTCGATCCCGTCCTCTCCACAAAAATCGTTGAGATGCCAGATCTTCTTTTCTGACTCGTACTTGATGGAACATATCACGAATGCCGCCAGAGAATCCAATCTGATTTTGGCGAAATTTGATGATCACTGACGCCAGCGAGTTTAACAAGTCTGGTCCAGTCAGTAAGTAATCGTTCAGCGATTTTCCATGAATCTTCGCTGCGGCGTCGAAAACTAGTCGATATTTTTCAGGTTTGTGGGGCTTGTCGATGACGAAATGCGGCAAGTACCACGCTTTCGATTCGTTGTTGTTGACTTCACTAGGGTCGAGTTTTCTTGCATAACCCTTCATAATATATTCATTTATTTTCTCCACATGAGCAGATCCAGCAGCACGATTTCGATCCATTTTCTTTTCAGCACAAGATAATCTGCTTTCTGCCATGGGTTTGCTGTTGACGAGTGATGGCTCTTCATCTTTATAAAGATGTCCAATCTCGTATCGATCTTGACCAGGGACGAGATTCACAGTTTTCTCCAAAATCTCTTGGGCACGTTCATCTTCTTTTTTCTGGGGTTGAGAGTCGGGCACTTTCACCCCGAAGGTTTCGACAGAGAAATAATTCTTCACAATATTGTGCAGGTCGTCCATGTCGTCGCGGTTGCACAAATGCATCACATTTCCTTTCGTTTCTCTGCCCGACATTATTCCATGTATGGCCCAGCCCAGCAGGGTCCGATGAGCCACGGCGTTATTGTCCACACCTTTGACACTTCTCTGGGGGACGATCAGCTTCGTATTTTTAACTCCAATTAACAATCGAGGTTGCACGTTAATCATATCCTTAATTGGCACTTGATTTAGATACGGGAATTTACTTTTCAGTTCCTGAGCGATGACAGTTTGGCTGGAGCAATGGAAATCTTGCACGGTCTGAACATCCTTCATTTCGAACCATTTGGCGTATGGGAACACTCCTTGAATCTCCATCGTCAGTGTTTGAGATTGATCTTCCATGTGTGAATGCGATCCAATCCACTGGAGACACAACTCGGTTTTGCGACCGCTACTTCCAATTTGCTTTGCCAAATCTGAGTCAATCAAAGTTAGGGTGCTGCCGTTGTCGAGTAAGGCATGCGTCGATACCACACCCTTCGGTCCTTTGATTTTAACCGGTACGATCATTAATATCTTATCGCTGGTGTTTCCCCGAACATGATGGGCTGATCCAGCAGTTTGACCTTGACCTGCATTCATCGATGATGATGATGGACCGTCTGTCGCTGGTGGAGGCGTTCCTCTCTCCTCACGACTTCTTGGTGGACGATGGAGAAGTGGGTGGTGGTCGAAATTGCATCCATCCACGCCACACGATTTCTTTCGTTTACATTTCTCTTTGGAGTGACCTTTAGATAAGCACTTGAAGTAGGCTCTCCAGCTTTTCACATTTTCCCATCGTTGATCCACACTAAGTTCCATAAATTTCTTGCACTCATTGGTCCAATGATTCTTCTTACATTCGTTGCAGATCTTCGTAATTTCTTTCTTGGACTCGGGGTCGGTGGCATTGTAAACCGCTTCTTTCTTTCGTGGTTGTTGTTCCGCCCACTTGTCCTTCTTCTCATCGGTAAGTCTGGGTGGTGTCATCAGCGTCGCTACTTTGGCCTTGAACTTGACCCACTCAGTGAAGTTCTCGAGACTTCCAACTTTTGCAGATTCCAACAGTTTCTCTTTCCACTGTGCCCGTAGTGAGGCTGGCAGTTTCTCCTCCAAATCCAACAATAACAATGGATTTTGGAGGTGGTGTACTTCACCAAGGGATTTGATAGTCGCTGTTAAATTCATAACAGCAGATCCAAATTCCACCATGGTTTGTGGCTTATCCTCCTTCACGGGCTGGATTTGTCTTGCCTTCGCGACCATGGCTCGAATAATGTGCTCCTTTTGCCCAAATCGTTGTTCCAAAACTTCGATTACTTCAGGTAAACTTTTTGGTGACACTAAGAGGCACTCGACACTTTTAAGGGCTTCTCCCTTTAAACACTTTCGCAGTCTTTCTAAATTTTCTGCATCGTTAAATTCACATGCATCCGTCGTTCTGTTGTAGGATGCGATGAAGGCTGGCCAATCCTCCGCTCTTCCTCCGAAGTAGGGAAGATCACGACCAATCGTTTGTCGAATAATCATCTTGTCGGTTGAACTGGAGGTGGTTGACTTTTCACTTAATTTCTCCAGCGTCTTGGCAATCATCTCCAGAACGTTACTGGTTTCGGTTGTCTTTACTTGTTCTGGTAGATGGTCTGGTTCCGTTAACTTGAACCTTTCGAAACGTTTGGCGGCAGTATCAAGTTCCTTGTCGACATCTTCATCGGAACCGAGATATTGTTCATCATCGTCGTCGATGGCGGCAATGGTGGCTTGATGTTGTTTCTTGAACACTTTGACATTGTTTTCAATTCGTTGCACTGTTCTCTTGGTTTTAACTTTCAAGAGATTATGTTGAGACGTGATGTGGGATAATTCATCATTTAATAGAGCAATTTCCCTTTTCAGATTTACGATATTGTTCGGCTCGTGGAGTGGGTGACTGGAGTCCAACCTTGCAGTCTTGGTGGCGATTTCCCCTTGAAGACTGATTAACTTCACTTCGGACAATTCCAATTCCTGCTCCAATTCGGATACTTCGTTTTCAGCAGCAATCATCTCCTGCTCAAGTTCCGCTTCTGCTTCAGCACGGCGCCTCGTTGACGACGACGACGTGTACGGCGTAGGTGAGGGAGGCTTCTCCTTCTGTCGAAATGGGGCGTAGGAGAGCATCTTTCCAAAAACGATTGATTGGCGGTGGGATCAGGTGGGCTGGTCGACGGTCGTTCTTCTTCGTCGCTGTGACCGTCGTCTTCCAAATCCTCCTGTCGTCCGTCACGATGACCTTTAGGTGACCCCGGGCAAGGATCGTAGCGTTTAGGTGGCCCACGTTCTCGATTTCCTTTCCTTGGTGGGTCCTGTCCGCTCATGATGATGATGGATACCAAAAATAAATCCAACAAACAAACAAGAATTCAAATGACAATTCAAAATTAATTCCCCTTGGAACGTAACGACCTCAAAGTGCCTCAATAAGCTGAGGCAAACTGTAAATACGGTTTTGTCCTCCTGGACGGGTCGATAATCGTTCGTCCTCCAAGGTCCGGCCGTTTCCTCCTTAGAACTGATCCGGTTCGCGAGACCAAAAATGTGCGGTCGTGCTTCTCGCGATAACTCAGGGGGTAGTGCTAATAGTTGTAAATTATTGCACTGGGTTGACCAAACATTTATCAATAACAAAATTACGATATTTATTCAACTGACACTATTAAACCGGAAAGGAATGATGTGTACAGTACAAGAGATTCTAAACGAATATACGTGCTTACTCGCACACGGACAAAAGCTTACTTACTAAAAAACTACACCGCATTTCATTATTTAAATATAATCTACTTTCCCATACGCGGAGCCAAGTAGCTAAAATGGGTCATGTAATTATTTGTAAGAAATTGCAATCGCCTTGTCTACATTATGTCCAGACGTCGGATATGAATGATTGGTAAAACCTCAAAATATGAATGAAAAATTACCATAAAAATTCCCAAAATATTACCATAAAAATGACTTTATTTGTTATTTTTGGCTAGTTTGAGACTCTATTTTTATCGATTAAACAAGCCCTGGGTGATTTAATTCATTGCTGGTGAATTAAATCATCTCAGCCGAAAGTAAATGTAAATATCTCACGATGAATCATTTTGAGAAACCTGTATTTTTGCAATTTTCTGGTAATTTTGAATATAAATCTTAGAATTTGGCCAAAAGTTATAAAATGAGCAAAAAAAGCTCGGAAAATATGAATAGGTCCGAAAACCCGAAAATATGACCAATATGAGAAAATATGCTTCAACCGATTCCCGGAAATTTGGGTATGGAAATTTTGGTCTCGGAAATTTGGGTACGGAAATTTGGGTATAAGGAAATATGGGTATCAGAAGTTTTGGTCTGCAGAAATTTTGGTCTCGGAAATATGGGTAGCAGTATATTTGGGTATGCAGAATTTTAGGTATGGGAAATTTGGGTATGACAAAAAAATTCTTTTCACAATTGCTCTTCGGAAAATGTGGTGGCCCATAAAAAGGGTCGATCATTTACAAAGTAATTACATGAGTTACAATATGTAACAAAATTGTAGATGCAGCGACAAATTTTTTTTTTCGATATGATCCCACAATTTCTAAAATTCCGGTTAATATACGGACAATTTCCGCGTCGTCGATTTTTAAACGTCACAAACAGATAAAACGTCAGTTTTTTTAAAGATTCAAAATGATATGCCAAAAATAAAACTCCATGGATAATTTTTTTCGACTTTCCAATAATTTGTATTGGACGCGGCAAGGCCTCACGAAAAAAATGAGCTATCATACGAACGTGTACGATTTTTTTGACGCCCACAGGAATTTTACGCCCAGGACAGTTTGAAGGTCTAAAATAGTGACCGTGGTGAAATTCAAACCATTGAAATATACACAGGCATGTATTCAATGTCAATATGGTTTTGACTTGGTATATGTACTAGTTACCGCACAACCAACGGCCATTTTAAGGGCCACCACATTTCCATCCGAAGATCAATTGTTGAAAAGTATTTTTTGTCGTACCCAAATTTCCCATACCTAAAATTCTGCATACCCAAATATACCGCTACCCATATTTCCGAGACCAAAATTTCTGCAGACCGAAACTTCCGATACCCATATTTCCTTATACCCAAATTTCCGTACCCAAATTTCCGAGACCAAAATTTCCATACCCAAATTTCCGTACACCCTTCAACCTACGTGACCTACCAGTGACCATGAAAATTTGGACTCTATTGGTCAATAAATGGAAAAAAGTCATATTTAATTCATATCCGACTTATGAATATGTATGTATAATGAATCGGCAAGATTGTTTCTATGCTGTTGATCGAAAAATCTCATTGCGTTGTCGTTCTGGCCAAAGCATTACAGAGTTTTTTTGACTGTCATAATTCCATTGCTTGACCCCTTAATCTAACCTCTCAACAAACCACGGACAAGAATAAACGAGTCGTTTATTTTTTCCATTGTGTTACTTGGGTCATTTTAAACGATCCAAATCAGGTTACATTGATACGAGTATAAGGATTACGCACCTCCACCTACGTGCATCGCTTTCACGATCTCTGCTGGTTATAGCCAATCCGAAAGCCCTTGTTCTTCGTCGAATGGCTAGTAATTCCGGGACCAGAAAATTCAAGATACCAGTCACTTTTCTCGATCTTCAAATAATAATAAATTATATTAGCGAAACAATTATATCCAAATGCTAATGCAAATTCTCCCCTCACCTTTCAACCTACAACTTTGTAACCTCCCCACAACTTAAACCGTTCTGTCGCTCTACGAAGGATTTCGAGAACTTGTAAACGAACTTTCTAGATCTTAAAGTAAATACAAAATATTAGCCATACTCTGCAAATTAAAAATATGCATGGGTGCAGGAATTTTGCATCGGTTCAAATCTAAATTACGTCCTAATCTAAATTTCCCAAAATTCCTTGTCAACTTTGAATTTTTGCAAATAATTATCACGCCTGGATCTATTTAAATGTCCCATAATTCCTCTGCAACGTTGTATCGGCGCAAATAATAATTTAAGCCGGAAAGCAATTTCCCAAAGAAAAATTCGTAATTTTGCATTGGTGCAAATTTTTCGGAAGATACGAATTTCCAAAAAGTTCCTCAAGATTTTACATTGGTGCACGTCATAATTACGCATGGATCTCAATAACTTAAAAATTCCTCGTTAGTTTGCAGTAATCAAATAATAATTTGCTCAAAATGTTGCATGGGTGCAAATTATAATTTCGCCAAGAGCTCAATTGCCCAGAACTTCCCCGTAATTCTGTAGTGGTGCAAATAATAATTTTGGCAAGATCTAAATTCCCAAAAATTTCCTCGTAAGTTTCCATTTGTGCAAATCATAAGTAAGCCATGATCTCAATCACCTTATAATTACCTACAACTTTACATTGGTGTAAATAATATTTTGGCCAAGAGCTCAATTGCCCAAAACTTCAACAAAATTTTGCATCCGTGCAAGTCGGGATTTCGGCGGGAACTCAATTTCCGAAAATTACATCGTAACTTTCCGGATCTCAATCACTTAAAAATTCCTCGAAATTCTGCGTGGTTGCAAATACAGATTTCGCCAGAATCTCACTTTCCAAGTTTCTTTGTAATTTTACATTCATACGAATAATGTGAGGTCAGACTAATAAAATTATTGTGAGGAAAGATTTTTGTACAACCTTTAGCGTAACGTTGAAGCCGATATCTACATTTCCCAAAATGGCCTCGGAACTTTGCATTTGTGCAAATAATAATTACGCCGGGATCTAAATTTCCTAAAATTGCATGCCAACTTTGCACTTTTGCAAATAATTTTAAATTTCCTGGATTTAAATTTCCAATATTTCAGTCGTTACTTTGCATTGGTGCAAATTATTATCAAACCTAGATCTAAATTTTCTAACTTGCTTGTAGCAAGTTGCTTCGTAACTTTGCATTTTTGCAAATAATAATGACGCCGGGATCTAAATTTGCCAAAATTGCTGCCTAACTTTACACTGGTGCAAATAATGATATGTAACTACATTTAAATTTGTCAAACTTCCTTCGTAGCTTTGCATTAGTGAAAAAACATGGACTAAACGCCCATAATTTCCTCACAATTTGGTAATGGTGCAAAAAATGATTTCGCCAAGATCTCAATACACAAACTTTCCTAACAATTTTGCAATTGTGCAAATAATAAGTTCGCCTAGATCTCAATTCCCAACATGTCCGAACAATTGTGCAAATAATACTTTTGCTAATATCTAAATTCCCAAAATTTCCTAACAATAATGCAATTGTTCAAATCCTAATTACGCCAAGCTATCCATCCCCCAAGATTTCCTCAAACCTGAAGAACTGTGCAATGGTGCAAATAATAATTACGCCAGTATCCTAATTTCCTATTATCTCTTCATAATTTTGCACCATTGCAAATAATTATACCGCGAAGATCTCAGTTTCCCAAAATTGTCTCACATTTATGCATCTGTGCAAACAATGATTTCGCGGCCATCTAAATTGCCCAATCTTTCTTCATACATATCTATGCATTAGTGCAAATTATAATTTCACCAAGCTCACCGTCTCCCAAATTTGCTCAAAGTCTTGTATTGATGCAAATATTAATTTCGTCAGGATCCCTATTTCCAAAATTTTTTCTAAATTTTGCATCACCTCAGATACTTATTTCGCTAGGATATTAATTTCTCCGAATTTCCTCCTAATTCTACATTGGTGCAAATACTAATTTCGTCAATATCTCAAGTTCACCAAATTTACTCGTGCTTGTGCATTCGTGAAAAAATATTTTAGCCAAGATCTTACTATACATATATGTATACACAGTTCAAAAATTTTGCGTCACTACAAATAATAACTTTGCCAAAACCCCATTCGCCAAAAACTTGCTAGCAATTTTTGGTTGATTAAAACAGTAGTTTCGCCAAGACCTCCGTGCCGAAAATCTCCAAACCGTTTTGTATTTGTTCAAGTAATAATTAAAAAAAACATCTCCATTAAATACTCAAAATTACCTCCCAGTTACACGTATGTAAGTGCTAATAGAAGTTGCACCAAGATCTCAACAGCCCAAAATACCCTTTTAGTATGGAAATGGTGACAGAAGGGTAAAAGAACTCTGAG